CGTCGGCTTACCTCGGCTTTGCGTATCAGTTTGGTAATACTCTCAACGAGAATCAATTTACCGGCGATAAGGCGCGCTTTGGCGAGTGGTCCTGGCGAATTAACTATGGCTACACCGCAGAAAAAACGTTTCTCAAGCTGCACAACGGTGCCGTCGAAAAGCACGATGATATTGATACAGACCTTGCCGGTCTCACCTTCGGTAAGTTGCTTAGAGACGGCAGAAAGGTTGAAATGTGGGGCAAGTTCTCGGTCAATCGGCGACTTGAAAACGATTTGCAGGATGACTTCTGGGAATACAATACCTACGTGATGGCGATGGGTACCGGTTATTCTCCATGGACAGACCGAGAGCTTTTTCGCTGGGGATTTGGGTTCGGGTTTTCCTACGCGGACAAAATTCCAGCGGTAGAAGTATTCAAACAGAAAGGCAAGTCGGCCTCTCGATTCCTTAATTATATGGAAGCTCAGTTTGATGTACCGCTGCGCAACTTTTTTGAATCGAAAGCGCTGAGCAATTGTTACGCAGGTGTAACGCTGGTGCATCGATCCGGTATTTTTGCCAGTTCAGACATTCTTAACAATGTGTCCGGTGGGTCGGACGTGCTCACTGGCCATGTGGAGTGCAAACGATGATTAAGAATGTCTTTTACATCAAAGCGACGCTTGGTTTTTTCCTGCTCGTCGGTTGCAGCAGCCAACCGCTTAACAAAGAGACCTTGTCTGAACAGGCCTATCTGGGTGCGGCAAATGCTGCCCGACACTTCCAGAATGATGAGCACCTGCAAACGTATTTCGAAGAAGCTGTGGCCTACGCGATGTTTCCCCGGGTCTATCGCGCCGGCGCAGGTTATGGCGCGGCGTATGGACATGGTTGGGTTTTCCGCAAGCAAGGTGCGCCTATCGGCAAGACCAGAGTCTGGCAGTTCAGTGCCGGGCCGCACATGGGTGCCCAGTTCTATGAACAGATTATTTTCTTTAAAACAGAAGAGGCGTTGGCTCTTTTTCAGGCCGGCACGCTTGAATTTGCAGGGCAGGCCAATGCAACTGTTGGGGTGGCCAATGTGTCAGCCACTCCGGCTTATAACGAAGGGGTTGCGATTTTTACTAACATTGGTGGTGGGTTGATGTTAGAAGGCAGTATCGGTGGACACTTGTACAACTATCGCGCGGTGCAGTAGCGCCGGTGCGATATTCGTCCAGCCTTTAACGCGGCATGGTGTCCATCCATGCGCCACATGCGTCTCACGTCGCGCTCAGGCTGCTTCTACGAGCGCGATTTTCGATATTTCAACTTGGCGTAGCGCTTTGAGCTCATCTATCAAAGGTTCTGACGCCTCCTCTTGGACGTCGACCAGTACCAGTGTTTTACCGTTTTCGATGGCAGCCTGGAAATCTTCGAGCTTGGAGTTGGGCATCCTGATGCCGATCAGAGAGCTGGTCCATGCGCCAAGTGCGGCTCCGCCTGCTGCAAAAGCGGCGATAGCGCCACCACCTATGGCGATGCCAGCTGGTGGAAGGGTCACCATTAACAGGCCGCCGAAGAGTCCCAAAGCGCCACCTACGCCAGCGCCCTGCTTCAGCGTGGGCAGGAGGTCGGAGTATTGGCGTGGGTCTGCTTCCGGCAGGTCTTCAAGAATGATGTCATGTTTGGTAACAACGTAGATATCGTCATCAGAATGGCCTTTGGCGCGCAAAGCATTTACCACGGCCCCTGCGTCGTCAAGGTCGTTATTCAGAATTGCAAGTCGTTGGCTCATCTTTAGGCTCCTTCGATTCTTTACCTGCCCGATTCATTGGGCAGGTTTTGAAGAAAAGGCTAAAAGACAGATCGTGAATTCATTGTGAAAAAATGCGGAAGAGATTTGCCGATCTGCCGTGGAGCTACTTCTTCTGCGGCTATATAAATGCGTTAGATTCAAAAGGGGTGAGTGTTTTTATCTAACGGTACATATTTGTTGGAGGTAAAGTTGCCAGCAGGTAACTTTGTGTAGCTTCTTGTTAACCGCTTGGGTGTCGTTTAAAACGGGTGGCCAAAGCGCAGGTATGCGCCGCTGTTGCCTTCTTTGCCCACCGCATAATCCAACCGCACGACCATCTTTTCTTTTGGTTTTACGGTGTAGACGATGCCGCCACCGGCAGCTGGGTACCAGGCGCTGCTGTCGCCACAATCGCTAAAGCCATCAAACAGGCATGCCGCACCCGCGAAGCCGGCGATAGCCCAGCGTTCGGTAAGACGGTAGCGCTCTTCGACTTCAAATGACACAGCATTCTCAGCAAGATAGTTGCCGCGTACATAGCCTCGCAGGTCCACTGAAGAATAAGCACCCACCGGGGCATCGTTGGTGAATCGACCCTGAACTCGAAAGGCGGTGACATGACCAGCACCATACGAGAGGTACTGTTGTAATTTGGCGCTGTAGGTATCAAAGCTTTCATCGCCGCCCAATGATTTACGATATGCAAGATTGCTGATCTGAAAAAGACGCCCGGTTGATGGTGATTCCTGATTGTCGCGACTATCAAATTGCACCATGACGCCAACGCCGTTGGAATCGAAACCTGTTATGCCCAACAACTCGAGCACTTTATCAGTGAGCGCGTCCTGGCCAGAGATGGTGTAGTTCGTCGCCAGCGCCTGGGCACCCACAAACCAGCCGCCGCCGGTTCGGCGAAGATAACGTATCGCGCCAAAGCGCAGATCATCGGTTGTCTGTACGGGTAACCCACTACCCAGAAAATCGTCATAGTCATTGCGTATCTTGCCGCTCGCCACACCAGCGATCAGGCGATGCCGGTCGTCACCAAAATAAGTACGCGCAAAAAGACCGAGCGTGTACGAATCTGTGTTGCTGTAGTTGGCGGTTGCGCCGAATGTTGAGGTTGGTGACTGTTTGTCGAAACGATGCAGATAGCCTGCCAGAGCCCCTGCGGATGTGCCTACTTTGGGATCGCTCGATATGAGCGGTACAGCCAACCAGGGTGAATCTGCTTCCTGCGTCGGCTCATTTTCTTGCGCGTGTGAATCTGCAAACACCCCCAGGCAAAGTGCCGTGGAGAACAAGAGTGGGAAAACTATCTTCGGCAAAATGAGTCTCTTGGGTCGTCGTCAGGCGCGGACTATATAGTACAATTCCGCCGATTTTTACTGTTTAGGCAAAGTCGGTATGTCTCAACCTAGAGTCGGCCATCATGTTGGGGGTCGTTTTCAATGTTAGCCGATTGGTTTTTTTACGTTGGCGTTACGTTTGGAGCTTTGTTACCAATCGCAAATCCCTTCAGCACCGCGCCGGTATTTATCTCGTTGACCCAAAGTTTTTCCACCCAGCGGCGCGCGCTGCAGGCGCGCATGTCTGCTGTCTATATGGCTTGTATCCTGCTGGTCTCACTGTTCGCCGGCGCGCTGATTCTCAGTTTTTTTGGCATAACGCTACCGATATTGAGGATGGCGGGTGGTCTGGTCATTGCCAAGGTGGGCTTTGGCATGCTGGAGCCTGCAAAGGCGCCATCTCCATCGGAGGATAGAGATGAGACGGCTGATATTGCGTTTACCCCGATCGCCATGCCCATGCTCAGTGGACCGGGTTCCATTGCGTTGACCATTGCCATGGCGACCCAGGCATCCGGTTTTGGTTCTTACACGGCGGTGGCCACAGGTATAGTACTTGTGGCTCTGGTGAGCTGGGCCACACTGCATTTCTCAGGCGAAATTCTGGATTTCCTGGGTACCACGGGCATGAATGCCCTGACAAGGATAATGGGTTTGTTGCTGGTCTGTGTAGGGATTCAATTTGTAGCAACCGGCTTTCTTGAAGGTCTGACTGGTGAGCGGGTCACCGGCATGTTGCGTGAATGGTTGATCACGCTACAGCCTGCTGAGTGAAGCGTTCGGTTGTACGACAAACCAGCGGCCCTGTTCACTAAAAACAGATTTACCGGTAACATTTTTCCCTCAACGTCTGCCTCATTCGCTTGCAAAACAAAGAGCGGGTCTGGCGAAACCATTTCATAACACCTACGGAACGTTACCTATGACATCCTCGAGATTCCTCTTTACGTGCCTTATCTGCATTGCCCCAAGCCTGGCCTCAGCCCAGGAGCTGATCATTTACCCCAGTCAGAATCAGAGCCAGGCCCAACAGGAAAAAGATGAGTTCGAATGTTACAGCTGGGCGAAAGGCCAGAGTAAATTTGATCCGATGGCTCCGCCTACCGCAACTGAGCCGCCGCCCCAGCAACAGGCAAAGCGGGGTGGCTTGGTGCGGGGAGCCGCCCGCGGTGCAATTGTTGGCGGTATTGTAGACGGCAGTGACGGTGCAAAAACCGGTGCCAAAGCTGGTGGCGCAATAGGGGGTATCCGACGCTCGGACCAGAATCAGCAGGAAGCCCAGGCTCAACAACAATGGGAGCAGCAGCAGGCTGCTCAATATCAGCAGGGGCGTAATGCCTACAACCGCGCCTATTCTGCATGTCTTGAAGGCCGCGGCTATACAGTTCGCTAAGTTAGTGGCTATTAAGTTGATTCAGATGAAACAAAAGGAATACTCATGTTGAAATTTTTGCAGCGCCCGATCGGCACATTTGTCGCGTGTTTTGTTGCCACGCCGCTTATGGCCCTGGATATGTCCGAACCGGTGCTTTGCGCCACCACTCAAGTGTTTGAGTGTGTTGATGGAAGCGGTTGCAATACAGCACTCCCGGAAGCTGTAAACGCGCCCACTTTTTTTCGCGTGGATACCAAGAAGAAACAGTTACGTGTTTTCAAAGATGCGCCGCCAACAAAAATTGTTAGCATGGCCAACATTGAGAGCCGGATTGTACTTCAGGGCGCTGAGGACGGTAGCTCTGAACGTCCAGATGGTGGCGGTTGGACCTTATCCATTGAATCTCAGACCGGCCGTTTTGTAGCCACAATAGCGGTTGCGCAAGCCAGCATCACTCTGTTTGGTGCCTGTACGGAACCCTTTGACGACTGATCTTCGGGTTCATCCTTGTCGGGATTTATCGGTCCAAGGCGGTGATGGTGGCGCCTCCGATAGATCCTCCGGCGAGCACAACTTCCTGTACGCCACCGTCCACCTTGCCATCCTGAATCTTTGCAATCAGATAGGACCAGTCAACTGCCAGCCAGATCACAGTGTGCTTGTCGCTGTCATCACCCCGATCCCGTCTAACCCGCACAGTCCTGAGCGGCCCGATCAGGGTTTTGGTAATCTCCTGGGTTTCTACAAGGTAGTGGTATTCCTTGATGCGCCCATTTCTGGTGACTTGATAAGTCAGGTCTGTTTTCCCCCGCATGACATCATTGCGTAACTGCAACTGCATGCTGAGCGGGTCGAGTGCGCCAGGGGGTAGCTCCAATGACCATTGTGGCTTAGCCGCACGATCTGTGACACTTCCGGTTTGCCAATCGAACGCAAGGTTAATGCGCCTCTTCACACCCATCGCTGACAATTTGTATCTGTAGAACAGTGGGATGAGAGTGGTAGTGTCGGCAAGGGCATAGCGGCTCATCTCTGTTGCTTTGCCTAGAATTGAGCTAGTGTTGTAGTGGTATTCGAACTGGCCGTCTTCGATTGGTTGTAACGTAGAGGTAGCCGTCAGTTTGGTCCCCATCAATCTGGCTTGATAGCTGACTTCAAAGGGCGTCTGTGCGATTTGAGATTCACCACGATCCGAAATGGTGGGTTCTGCACTTACGCTGGCATTGGCCAGAATCGACAATAACGTCATACAAGTGATTTGAATCTGATGCCGACGTATAAGGGTCGTACGCATTTGTTGTGTTACCTCTTGTTGTCGTTGGAATTGTCGGTTGTAACAGGGGGTACAGTAGACATTCTGCGCGGCTTACGTCGATTGCCGAAGTGCATTTCAAATTCCACGCCTGCACCCAGATTCGCTTTCCGCGACTCATCTGGGAGGGCGCGGGGCCAGGAGACGCCTGCGGTCAATTCCAGGAAAAACCACTCTTTCGAAAAGATCCTGCGCCGGAAACGGAACTCGAAGCCGTAATCTTTGATCGACACTGGCGCGCCGGTTTCGCCTTTCACGTAGAGACGGTAGGAGACCGCGCGCCGGTTAGACAGGCTTTGATAGGTGGTTAGATTGGACACCCAGGAAAGCCCATCCAGACTTTCCGATACTTTTAAAAAGTTACCCCAGCGCGTCATGAGGCTAGATGAGAAAATGCGGGTAAGATCTCCGGACAGAGACGTTCCCCAACCGTCATCACCTTGCCAGAACACCCGCTCCTGCACGCGTACAGACCACCGCTCCGAGTAGATCCTGTTCCAACGATAGCTGACCCGGGCATAGGGATCGATTGGTGTGGAGAATTTGACGCCTACATCAAAATCAAATCCTTGCTTCTGCCGTCTACTGCGAGAGGGGGAAAACCCCAGGCCAAGCAAAGCGTCTTCTTCTTCAATGTCGCGGAACCCTTCAGCGGGACTTTCGAACTGGCTGTTGGCGGAGCCGTCTATCACATCATCTGCTTCGCCGAGGCCTGCGATCAGACGCACTCTCCTGCGGGTATTAGGCAGTGCAAATCGCGCTCTGAACTGGGTTTTTGGCTCAAATCCGTCACGCTCGTCCCAGTAACCACCGAGATTTATCTGGCCATAACTTTCGTTGCTGCCTTCGTAGTAAGTCGCGTCTCCAAAGAAGCCGTCGAACCACATTGAGGTACCGCAAACAACCCGATACACAGAGCTTTGGGTTTTGTCGAGCAGACCGTTGATCTGTTCTTCCGGGGTGCAGGCGCCATTTCCTGCCTCAGCGGATGGCTCAGTTTTGGCGGTGGGTGCTGCTTGCAAGGTTGTGTCAACGTCAGGCGAGTTCCCGGCGGCATAAGCAGGCAGGACGACGAGCAGAGAGAGCGCCAAAACTGTAGCGGCAAGGGATGAGCGCCTTGCATGCCCACTCTGATAGTTGAAAGCTCTGCCGTTACCGATTTGCTTGCTCTGCGCCAGTTGTCTATTGCCCTGAGAAGATGCGTTCCCACTCATCCCTGGTCAGCTCTGATTTCAGTTCGAACCGCAGTGCCAGCATCTTGTCCTGGCCTGCTTCCCAACGCCGCTCAAGGTCAGTGATCTCTGCCATCATGCGGTTGCCGTTCTGTTTGTGATCGCGGTAGTACTTGGTAAGCTTTTCGCCGGATGCTGCGTAAGCTTTTTCAAATTTTTTCACGTCGTCACGGGCACTGTCTATGACGGTGGTTGCGGCGTCAGCGCGCAAGGGATCATCTATGGCGGCGGCGACCCGGTTGCCAAGATCTTTGAGGGTGGCCGTGGTCAACACACCACTGAAAGCGGCGCCATTGCCACTGAGTACGTAGGATATGAGTAAAGCGACCAACATATCAGGCATCTCCTGCTGGTGTTGTCATCGCGCGGGGATTGAGTTCGTTCAGCTGAAACTTCGCCAGACGCTTCCATTCTTTTGCCGTTGTGCTGGCTTTCATCTGCTGGATGATGTGCACCAGTTGCTGCTGATAGGTTTGTCGATCGGTGCGGTAGGTGGCAAAAAGTTGTTCAAAGTCTGTCCGTTCAGCGTCATAGTCGGCGTTCAGAGCGCGCATATTGTTGATATATGTCTCAATAGTCGCCGCGTGATTCGCTACCGTCTGATTGCGCATGTCAAGCAGCATAAGCAGGGTGTTGGTTCGTTCCGGGTCTTCTACAACCGCAGTGAGCAATTGACGCTCATCCTGTTTTGCGGCCTCAAACTGGGCTTCCACTGCGCCGGGATCGGTTGCTGTGCTGCGGAACCCGCAACCCGCAACGACAAGAATTGTGGTTGCGAGCAAGAAAGGTAATTTGTATTTCCTGGATTTCATCAAAGTGTTCCGGGTTGAGTGGTTTGTGTGAATCTCGACAGTTTAGTTGGTCGGATGAATCATATTACTTGGCCGTTTGCTGTGCTTCTGCGATGGCTTGACGTAGCCGTTCGACGTAGTTTTCAGGGAAGTGCCAGATGCCAGTTCCGTCATTCTGCTGCAAACCTCGCGCAGTGGGAGAAAGCCCCCAGCGCAGTCGGCTCAGAATGTCGCTACTTGTCCAGGGGCTGCTGCGGAAATAGCCGTGCCCGTTTGCATCCTGAGCGCCTTCAGTATCGGTTACGTTAACGACGGTGAGCTTATCCGTGGTGCGCAGATATTGGGCGATGGGTGAAGATGCATCCAGATCGGAAAAAGCTTGACCCAGGCGGTCTCGCTTGCCCAGGGACCATTTAGACATGGCCAGTGCTTTATCTGTGGCGGAAGTGTAGATCAGCATTTCATCCATCAGGTTCAGAATGCCATCGTTCAAGTAGCCCCCGAAGCGCTGCCGATCAATATCGCTGCCGGTGAGGACAATGGTGCCAAGCCGGTAACGTTGCGCAGCCTCTGGATCATCTCCGGCGATCAGCGCAAGATCCTGCAGCGCCCTGACAACCATACGGGTGCCCGCACTGTAGCCGATGATATGGATGCGCCGGGCCTGTGTGTCGTTAGCCAGATACTCCAGGAAATGGCGAAAGTTCAGTGAGGCGACGTCGGCGCTTTCGGTATCCGCAAAGTAAGCTGTGCGCTTCGGCGTAGATGGCCATGAGTAGGCTATACCAACACCTTCGTAGCCCAGGAAATGCCAGAGCTCCGCCATAACCAGCAGTGGATTCTCAAAAACGACCTTGTAGCCGTGCACGTAGATAACAACATCCTGCAGTCTGGAGCGCTCAAGCTTTGCATTAACCGCTTCGGTAAATTCTGTCTCTGCGCTGTCTGCATACCCGGCAGCAGTTGCCGGATCGAGAAAGTTATGAATGGTGCTGTCGAGAATGCCATATTCCGTAACGGACGCGACTTTCAGCGGATATTTGCCAGGGCGATTTTTCAGCAGGGAGATGCGGCGCGCTTCTTCCCAGTCAATGTTGCCGTCACCCAGAGAAATCTGCGCGGCGCCCAGTCTGAGGACACCACCTCGCTCGTTGCCATAACTCATCCGGTCCCGGGATGACTCAGGTGAACGATCAGTGGCGAACAGCAGCTGATGGAATGGTGGATCCTCACCTGCATCGAAGTCATCCTGGAATGGGCTTGTTGTTGGATCTGCAAGTGCATCCGGCGCAGGCATGAGGTCGATGACACTGCCACCCTCGACCGCACAGCCGCCAGACAACAGTACGGCCAGCAACGGAATCAGCCAAATTGTTATTCGGCAGATTGTCTTTTTCCGTTGGTTCACTCGAGGAGCGTTGCCCGCGTTACTTGGCCTTCGAAGCTTTGTAAGAGAACTTCTGCCCACTCACAGTGGCTTCGTACATCAAGCCGCCTTTTGCAACGGTGAATACCGCCATACCTCTGTAGTACCCGCCAGTGGTGACGGCATCGTTCTTGCCTCCGCTCGCAGCGGTACCGCCGCCACCGGTGGTGTTTGCCCCGGCAGATACTCCGGCTGTAATGGCGACTGCACTTGCGTTTGCACCAAACGCAAAGTTACCGGAAATAAACTCGTTCAAGGCGCGCTCATCTTCAAAAAAGATGATCTGGCTGAAGGCCTGGCCGCCAAACTGCAAACCGACGGAAAGCTGTGTCATCGTTGTTTCGCCGATAGACACACCGTTGACAAACACCTGGCCTTTACCGCGCGCGCCGCCGATACCCATACCGGCCTTGCCGATGGTTGGAAATACTGCGTAGCCATGAGCTGAACTGAAAAACTCGCCACTGGCGCCGGCTTTCTTGAAGACTTCAATGGTCTCCGTGTACTCGTCTGCCCATGCCACAGGTGCGAGTAACACACTGGCGATTAACATGAGCCTTAAGCTTTTTAGATTCGACATAATTAAATTCCTTGTTTAGCCTTTTCTGGATTTGTAGTGATCCGAAATTGACCAAGACTATACTTTAATGGACGCCTGAAATCCGCACTCTACGTTGGTTCTGCCTGACAATGGGTCAGGTCGGACAAGGTGTTTGAGATGGGACCTGAAGGTTGAGAATGAGTGAATTTGTTGGTAAGTTCCCGCCGCCTTCGCCATGGTGGATAGCCCGCTTTGTATTTTCGTCGATTTTTATTGTCCTTCGTCACTCTGGCCTCACTGTCGGGCTGCGCTGCAGTAAATGTGTCACTGCCGGCCGTGGTGGAAAGTCCAACTGGCTTGTCGCTGCCGGGTAAGGTGGTCTGGCACGACCTGATTACGCACAAACCGCAAGAGAGCCAGCAATTTTATGAGAGTCTGTTCGGCTGGCAGTTCGAGGATGTGGGCGTAAATCTTGGACCGTTTCGCTCGGTGAATTACACGCTTATCCGTCACGAAGGTCTGTTGATCGGGGGCATGATAGATGCCAACTTGTTAGGGCGCAGGAATGCAGCGGAGTTGTCCCAATGGGTTGTTGTCATGGCTGTGAACGATGTTGACGCCGCAGCTGCCACGGTTGCACAACAGGGTGGCATTGTTCGCCATGCGCCTGTGGATCTTGACGAACGGGGTCGCCTGGCCATTATCGAAGACGCCCAGGGAGCTGAGCTGGCGCTGCTGCAGACACGCGATGGCGATCCGTCCGACGCACCCCTGGGTATCGGTCATTTTCTCTGGGATGAAGTATGGAGTAACGATCCCGATGCCAGCTCAGAGTTTTATAGACAGTTAACGGGTCTGCAAACCGCTGAGTATGGGAATATGCCCGACGGTGCTTACCAGTTACTCACCAGTGGTGACACGCCGCGTATGGGTCTCCTGCAGACACCGCTGCCGGAACTGCCCGCTACCTGGGTGAGTTATGTGCGTGTGGCGGATGCTGATGCAATTACTGCACAGGTCGAAGCGCTCGGAGGACAAGTGATCATCGGCGTTACACAGCGTGACGTTGGCGGTGAGGCGGCGTTGATTGTCGACCCATCCGGCGCTGGGATTGCCATTCAAACCTGGACGCCACCGACGCAATCAGCGCGTTTGTAAAGCCAGCATTGTGCGCAAAGCTACCAGACGATTAACAAGAGATCTTCTATGACAAAATTGAAAACTGTAGTGCAGCTGGTGCTTGTGCTGATGCTCACCACCCAACTCACGGGGTGTGATAACGCAAAAGTGTACGGCAGCATTGGCGTGTCGAGCTACCATGGTTCATCCAGCTATTACGGCGGCTCTCGTGTCGGCGGCAGCATCGTTATTGGCGGACGGATCCGATGAAGTTTGCAATGATTTTGCGAAACGGCCTGCTGGCCCTGTTGGTGATATTAAGTAGCGTTGTCGCGTCAGGCGCGGAGCGCAGGGCGGGTAATATTGAATATACGTTCGGATTGATCTACACCGACGATGAGTCCGTCGACACACGGCGTGGCAGCAGCGTCGACATCGACGATCGTGTCGGTCTGCAGGCAGGCTTCGACTACTATCTTTCAAGTCGCCTGGCGTTGGGTTTTGATATGTCCTGGGTTGAACCGAACTATCGCGCGGTGTTAGTGCCGGACGATGGCTCTGACGCAGTGATCATTAATCGACGCTCCAGAGTGTTCACCGGGCAATTTAATGCAACCTTCAATCTCCTCGAAGGCCCGATAACACCCTTTGTTGAGGGTGGGCTCGGCTGGACCTATTTTGACTCCAGAGTGCGCAGCAGTGCACCTGTGGTAGGGTGCTGGTGGGATCCGTTCTGGGGTTATATATGTGCGGACAGGTATCGCACCTATGACGAAACCAACCTGTCTTATGGGGTGGGTGTAGGTATGCGCATGGATTTGTCGCGCAACCTTTTTGCTAAGGCGACCTATCGTTGGCTGGAACTCGATCTGGATGGCGGTCGAAAGAAGCCGTTGTTGGAGAGCGTTGGCGTTGAAATCGGCTGGCGGTTTTGAAGAAGTATTGGATGCAGCCTCTAAGAAAGAAAAACAAATAGTTTGATGGAGATATACAGATCATGAATGTACAGAATTTTGCGATACCGTTGCTCATAGCGGCAGCGTTGACGGTCGGTGCTTGTACCACCACTACCGGGCCACTGGAAGTTGATACGAGTGACAGCACTGCTCAGTCGTTTGACGGTCTATATCCGGCCACCGGCGCGCGACGCGGTACTCAGGTCTGGATGTTGGAAGATATAGATCTGTCGTCCTACGACAAGATCATGTTGCAAGGCGCGGGTATCAGCTATCGTCCGGTTAAAAAAGTCTCCTCCGCTGCTGCTGTGAATTCCAATCGGCAGGAGTTTCCAATCTCGGAAAAAGCCAGAGCAGACATCCGTGACACTTTCACGGCCTCCTTTGTGAAAGAGTTAACCAAACAGGATCGATTCGAAATTGTTGAAGAGCCAGGCCCGGGTGTGTTGTTGGTTCGAGGTGCTTTGCTTGACGTCATTTCACGTGTTCCCCCAGAGCCGATTGGCCGCAGCAATATTTATCTGTCGACGGTTGGTGAGGCCACGCTGGTTATTGAATTTCGCGACGCCGAGTCTGAAGCGCCATTGCTTCGTGCGATGGAAAGACGGGCAACATCGCGTAACACCGATATGCCCATCTGGTCTAACCCGGTCACTAACATGAACGAAGTCCGGATCCTTGCTGATGCCTGGGCGCGTCGTGTTTCAGACAGCCTGATTTATCTGGCGGACACCTATGGCATCGGAGACGGCGCCTAGTTAACCCTCTGGATCTGCGGTGCAGGCCAGCTCGCGCTGGCCCCACGCACTCCTGAATTTAAGCTCGTTGAAAGCCATGCAACCTGATGAGTGAGATGTCTGACCTGACACAATGGCTCTGCGCCATGCCAAAAGCTGAATTACATCTGCACATTGATGGCAGTCTGCAAGCATCAAGGTTGCTACAGCTGGCTGCAAAGAATTCCGTAAGCCTGCCGTATGCAACCGTTGAAGAAGTCGAAGCAGCTTATGACTTTGCTGACCTGCAGAGCTTTCTGGATCTTTATTACCTGGGTGCGTCCGTGCTGCAGGACGAGGATGATTTTTATCATCTCATGATGGACTACCTGCTTAAGTGTAAAGAGCAGAATGTGGTGCATACCGAAGTCATGGTTGAGCCCCAGACGTATATACCCAACGGCGTTTCATTTGCCACCATGATGGATGGATTTGGCAGAGCCATCTCTGAAGCGCAAGCAGGCTGGGGGCAGTCTGTCCTGTTGATTCTGAGCTTTCTTCGACACCTGTCTGAACAGGAATGCCTGGCAACGCTTGCAGAAGCGGAGCCTTTTAAGGATCAGTTTGTGGCCATTGGTCTGGCAAGTTCAGAGCTCGGTCATCCTCCGGATAAGTTTGTGCGCTTATACGCTGCTGCAAAAGAGCAGGGATATAAAGCAGTTGCGCATGCTGGTGAGGAGGGACCGCCCCAGTTTATCTGGGATGCGTTAGAGCTGTTGCAGGTTGATCGCATTGATCATGGCGTACGCTCGGTGGAAGACACAGCATTGGTAGCTAAGCTGGTGGTTGAACAGGTGCCGTTAACGGTATGCCCTTTATCCAATGTGCGCCTGCGGGTATTCGAACGCATGGCAGATCACAATATCCTCAAACTCCTGGACGATGGCGTGTGCGTGACTGCTAACTCTGATGACCCAGCCTATTTTGGCGGGTATATGAATGAAAACTTCATCGCCATGGCAGCGGAGCTTGGCCTGAGCCGAGAACAGGCATTGCAGTTAGCCAGAAACAGTTTTACGGCATCCTTTCTGTCTGAAGACCTTATTGCGACATACATTGAGCAAGTGAACCAATATGGGTCAGACGCCTAGGCCTAACCGTTGTACCTAATCGAACTGTTTCTCGCCGCTGGCAAACACTAGATAGAAGATCATTCCGAACAATGTGACACCGGCGGTCACCTGGAAAACCAGATCCCAGGATCCGGTAAATTCAAGGATCAACCCGGAAACGTAGACGCCAACAATACCTGGGATGGTGCCCGCAGTATTGGTGATACCCATCAGCGATCCCGCGTAGCGCGGACCGATATCCATATGGTTAACACTGTGCCCACCCACACCGGCAGCTGAAAACACTTTACCCAAACACAATATGCCGATCGCCGCCCAGACATTATCGACGGTGGTGATCAGAAACAAACAGATGGCAAGTCCGCCAAATGCTACCGTCTGCATCAGTTTGCGCACATAGGTCACGTCCATGCCCTGACGAATCATTCTGTCGGCGAGAGAGCCGGCAATATTCAGGCAGAAGAAGGAGGTGACATGCGGCAGCATCGAAACCAGGCCTACCGCTGCAAACGAAACACCTAAGCCTTCATTTACATACTTTGGCAGCCAGGACAGGATCACATACAGCGTCCAGTTATTGCAGAAATGCGCGACGATAATCGCCCACAAGGGTTTGTTCCTGAGGAACTGTCGGATACTGGGTGATTCCGTGGCGGTGCCGGATGCCGGTGCATTGTTCTCCAGGTGCGCAAGCTCGGCCGAGCTGATGCCGGGATGATTCTGTGGCAGCGTAGTGACCAGGCGTTGCCATGCGATATACCAGAGTATGCCAACTGCACCGAACAGGTAGAACGCCCACTCCCAGCCTAAATGCAGGACGATCAATGGCGTCACAATCAGAGCAAACACGGTGCCAATGGGTATGCCGCTGGCATTCAGCGCAATGGCTTTTGATTTTTCGTCCGTTGGAAACCAGCGGGTTATCAGGCTGTAGACAGATGGGAATGTGACCGCCTCACCGAGCCCCATGCCAATGCGGGCAAGAAACAATGCGCTTAAACCCATGAAGGCTGCAGCAGGGGTGATGATGGTGAACACTGACCAGATAAGCACGCCTAAACCGAGAATCAGCTTGCCGCCAAATCTGTCAGCTAAACGGCCGCCACCAATCTGCATCAGTAAATAACCGATATAGAACGAGGACAGAACAGCGCCCTGGGTGGCGACGTCCCAGCCGAGATCCTGGGCCATAGGAATAATGGCGACCGAAATATTTACCCGATCAATGTAGCAGACGAAGGTCGCTGCAAAGCACATCAGAATGATGGTGTATCTGGATTTCCAGAACGGCTGAGCCGCGTGCAGGCCGCGGCCTGTTTCATCTGCCAATGTTAATTCTCCCCCCCAGGATGGTTCGACTGTAGCAGAAGCAAAATTGTTTTACTTATCTAAGACAGAACAGGTTGGGGAACTATGTAGTTGGCCTGGTGCTCTGGTTCAATGGTCTGTATAGGCCTCGCCGTCGCTGGGAATATCCTTTAAATTAGACGCTTTCCAACTGCATGCTTTAACGCTACGGATGACTTATGCCTCAAATTATTCACTCAAGCCCGCTGCCCGATGTTGATATCCCCGACGTAACAATCACTGCGCACGTGCTGCGCAGAGCAGAACAGCTTGCGAACCAGGTTGCCATTCGCGATACCGCTGGCACCAGCGTCTACACCTTCGCAGAGCTCAGCGACGCCATATTTTCGCTGGCCGGTGGCATGGCTGCGCGAGGGGTCGCTCCGGGTAGCGTTGTTGGTTTGATGGCGCCAAACCTGCCGGAATATGCGGTTGTCTTTCACGGCGTGGCGGTTGCCGGCGCCGCGGTGAGCACCATCAACCCAACCTACGGTCCCCAGGAAGTCAGGCACCAGCTAAATGATTCCGGCGCATCCATATTGGTCACTGTGCCTATGTTTGCCGAGACAGCGCTGGCGGCGGTTGAAGGCACCCAGGTGTCTGAGGTGATTGTGATTGGAGATGCGGTACCTGGAACAACATCTTTGGTAGACGTGTTTGGTGCGCCAATTGAACAGGTACCGGTTGATGTGGCAACCCACACCGTCGTGTTGCCTTACTCCTCCGGCACGACAGGTCTGCCTAAAGGCGTCATGCTGTCGCATCGGAACCTGGTGGCTAACATTGAACAGTGTAAGCACGCGATTCGCTATAAGGACAACGAAGTTGCGCTGGCGGCATTACCATTTTTCCATATCTACGGCATGCAGGTGTTGATGAATGGGTTGCTCAGCAACGGTGTTACAACAGTCACCATGCCTCGATTCGACATGGTTGAAGCGTTGCAGGCGGTTCAGGATCTGAAGATCACAAGATTCTTTGCCGTCCCCCCAATTGTTCTGGGTCTGGCAAACGCGCCGATCGTTGATGATTATGATACTTCCTCCATCAAACAGGTGTTTTCTGGTGCGGCGCCGCTTGGTGCAGAACTGGCCGCTCAGGCTGCAGCCCGCCTCGGTTGTGAAGTGGTGCAGGGCTTCGGCATGACCGAGCTCAGCCCGGTGAGCCACTCAACGCCAGAAGGTGATTATCGTCCAGGTACCAGTGGCGTGACCATCTCCAATACCGAGAGTCGCATTGTTGATCCCGACACCGGCGAAGACCAACCTGTTGGTGAGCGTGGTGAACTCTGGGTACGTGGACCTCAGGTGATGACTGGATATCTTAACAATCCAACAGCAACAGCGGAGACCATTGACTCAGACGGTTGGTTACATACAGGTGACATAGCGATCATTGATGAACATGGACACATGTCCATTGTTGACCGCATGAAAGAACTGATTAAATTCAAAGGTTTCCAGGTGGCTCCAGCGGAGCTTGAAGCGCTTCTGATCACACACCCGAAAGTTGCAGACGTGGCCCTGATCGGCATTCCTGATGACGAAGCAGGCGAGATCCCTAAAGCGTTTGTCACTACCCCGCCAGGTGAAACGGTTACCCTTGAAGAAATACAGGCCCTGGTCAGCGAAAATCTGGTGAGTTACAAACAGATCAGGCAGCTTGAGGTGATTGATTTAATACCAAAAAGTGCTTCGGGAAAGATACTGAGAAAAGACCTTCGTAATCGCTAGCAACAGGTAAACATCCCATGTCCAGTATTATAAAGACCGGCTCATTCTCAAGTCCGCGCCATACCACTGGTTATCTGCATGCCGGAAATCCTGCGGATCCCGCGGTGATCTTTGTGCATGGCTGGCCAGAGTTATCGCTCAGTTGGCGCCACCAGCTGCCTGTGGTTGCAAGCCTCGGCTACTATGCCGTGGCGCCTGATATGCGTGGCTACGGACGATCGAGCCTTTACGACAGACATGAAGACTACGCTCTGCGCGAATCTGTGCAGGATATGCTTGAGTTATTGGAGGGTCTGGGTAAAACCCAGGCAGTCTGGGTCGGCCATGATTGGGGTTCTCCGGTGGTGTGGAGCCTGGCGCGTCATCATCCAGACAAATGCGCTGCTGTGGCAAACCTCTGCGTGCCCTATGACACCCTTGAGCATGGCTGGGATGGATTCCTGCCCCATGTAGATCGTGGGATATATCCGCTGGCGCAGTATCCCGCTGGACAGTGGGAATATATGCGCTTCTACGAAGAACATTTTGATGATGCCACGGCAACATTTGATTCCGCACCTGACAAGGTTGCAAAAGCGCTCTTCCGCGCGGGTGGTCCCGATAATCTGGGCGTGCCTTCAGTGACAGCATTGGTCCGCCAGCAGAACGGCTGGTTTGATGGCGGGGAGGTTCCGGATGTGCCCAGAGACGATTCGGTGATCAGTGAAGAAGAGCTGCAAACCTATGCCCATCATCTGCGGGAGAACAGTTTTTTTGGTCCCGATAGCTGGTACATGAATCACGCGGCTAATGCGATCTTCACCGCCCAAGCGGTGAATTCCCATCTGGAAATGCCGGTTTTGTTTCTGCATGGTCGGTATGACACCACCTGTGAAACCATGACGTCGACATTGGCTGAGCCCATGCGCGCGAAATGCAGTCGCCTGACCGAACATGTTGTAGACAGTGGCCATTGGATGGCTCAGGAGCAGCCAGATGTTGTGAATGCCAGGCTGGTTGAATGGCTGAGGGACTCCCTGGCATAGCAGCCCATGCTGGGCTGCTAACGTTCTTTCAAAGCCTCATTCACAATTTTCAGCCGATCGGCCTTTGCAGGCCCATCTGGAATGATGTGCTCCCAACGATCATCGGCACCTTCGCGGCGTAGCCACTTACCCGGATACTCAGCCGCTTCGGATCGGTCCGCATGCCTAAACACAGCACCCTGATTATATTTCTGTGTATAAGGCACGGTGTTGCGCCCCTGGCGATCTGTCAGCGACGCATAGAGTTGCTGGCGCAGCTCTACTTTGACGGTAAGCAGGTCAGGATCTTCGATGAGGTTGGTTTCTTCCCCGGGGTCTGACGCCAGGTCGAAAAGTTCCTCGGTGTCCCACACGCCGTGATATTGCACATATTTGTAGCGATCTGTGCGTATCGCAAAAACCGTGGGTGTCTGTGGATAGTTGAATTCCCAGTAATATTCATAGGTTAACGCAACGCGCCAGGGTGTCTGCTGGCGTGGGTTGGATTGTTTTTCCGTAGTAGTTGGCAGCTCTGCGAAGCTCATGCCATCGTAGTGTGATGGCGGCGCTAACCCTGCCAGAGACAAAATCGTAGGTGCAATATCGATGTTGGCAACCATTTGCTCGATCTGCTGTCCTGCCGTGAACCGTCCTGGTGCCGCAACCAGGAGCGGCACTCGCATAGATTCTTCATACGCGTTACGTTTGTCTATCAAGCCGTGCTCACCAAACATGAAGCCGTTGTCGCCCATCAATATGACAACCGTATTGTCAGCGAGCGCATTGTCCTCAAGCCATTGCCGTACTCTACCGATGCTGTCGTCGACGGCCGTAAGGGTACGGTGGTACTGACGTTTGAATTCTTCTAGCGGCAGTTCGGAATGGTACGGGAATTCAGATCCGTGCCAGCTATTGCGCTGGTTAAGCACCCAGAGCGGAACATCCGCGTCTGCCGCCGGAGGCTTTCCCAGCTTAATGTCCGCATCGCTGTATTGATCCCGATGGCGTTCCGCGGGTTCGAACATGGCGTGTACTGCTTTGTGTGACAGATATGCAAAGAAAGGCTTTGCTGTGTCCCGGTTTTCCAGAAAGTCCACCAGGTAATCGGTTAGTTCGTCAGTAATGTAACCTTGTTGAGCGACTTGTTTGCCATTCACATTCAGCATCGTTACGCCACCAAAGGCATTCTGTGGGTAGTACGTGCCTTGCCCGGGAAAGCTTGCCCAATAATCAAACTCCGGTCGCGGTTCTGAGCTACTGCCACCCATATGCCACTTACCGATAAATGCTGTTTGATATCCCGCCCCCTGTAAACGTGCGGGAAACAGTTCCAGACCTTCGGGTAAAGGTCGATTGTTATCAACAACGCCGTGATTGTGCATCATCTGCCCCGTCAGAATGCTGGCGCGGCTCGGAGAACATAGTGACGTAGTAACAAATGCATTAGAGAAATGCACACCCTCGGCGGCGAGCGCATCAATGTTCGGCGTTTGCAGAATGGGGTTTAGAAAGCCCATTTCATCGTAACGCTGATCGTCGGTGAGGATAAAGACTATGTTCGGCTGGTCAGCCTGCACGCAAAGCGGAGACGTCAAAGCCAATAACAGAACTATCCAGCAGATGGGTTTAGTTTTTAGCATGGTTTCTCCGTGAAATATTTCTCTGCTGAGGCTCAACGATAATACAGTTTTGATGGCATCATATAGTTGCACATAAAATGAGAGACGTCCGGCTCAAAATGACAAGCTATGGAAATAGAAAAACTGCAAAAATTGTCCGCATATTACAAATGTTTACCATGCCCCTGATTTTGATGGGGTGTCACAGCTTTAAGCCTTTGCCGGAGGGCATTTCGTATCAAGGTCCGCATAGACCTGCAGAAGAAGTTGTATTTTTATCGGATTCAACCTGGGTAGACGAAAATGGACAGCGCCAGGTTGAGCAGACTATTTTTGATGATCTGTTTCAGATAATTGCGGATGCTGAAAAACTGATCGTGCTGGATATGTTCCTCTACAACGACTTTCAGGGACCCGTTCCGGAAACAACGCGCGCGCTGTCCAGCGAATTGACCGAAGCGCTTATCGCTCGTAAAGCGCAAGTGCCCGATATCAACATCATTGTGATTACAGATCCACTGAACACGCTCTACGGCGGTTTGCCCTCCGCTCAATTTGAACAGCTGGAAGCGGCGGACATTCCGGTCGTGATCACAGATTTGCGGCGGTTGCGCGACAGCAACACGGTTTATTCTTTTTTCTGGCGCATCTTTATCAAACCGTTTGGTAATGCAACGGCATCGACACTGCCTAACCCCGTGGGTCCGGGTCGCGTCTCCTTGAGAACCTATTTGGAGTTGGTGAATTTCAAGGCGAACCATAGGAAAGTACTGATAGCTGACCAGGGGGACAGCTATGTCGGTTTTGTCACTTCTGCCAATCCACATGATGGCAGTAGTGCACACCGCAACGCTGCGGTTCGCTTTTCTGGCGCTGCAGCCGTCGATCTGCTGACCACAGAAAATGCAGTGCTGGCCCTATCTGGTGAGCCTGAAATTCCTTTTGAGCTTGCGTTGAAATCAATACCGGACGCTGAGACTGCGCCTACGATACAGATCGTCACCGAGCGCAAAATCAAAGATGCTTACTTATCTCAACTGCAGGCCGCTGGGGCTGGGGATAATGTAGATTTAATGATGTTCTATCTGTCTGATCGCGCCATTGTCAAAGCGCTGAAGATGGCGCATCAGCGCGGGGCTTCTTTACGCGTCCTGTTAGATCCGAACAAAGATGCTTTCGGCCGGGAAAAGAACGGTATTCCGAACCGGTTGGTCGCCTCCGAACTGGTCAAGGCCGGGGTCGATGTCAGATGGTGTTACACACAAGGTGAGCAATGTCACGCAAAGATGTTGTTAGTAAGCGGGCAGGCGGATCGTGCCACTCTCATATCCGGATCCGCAAATTTGACCCGGCGCAATCTTGATAACTTCAATCTGGAAACAAACGTGGTGGTCACCGGTACTACTGCACATGCGTCGATTACCGATGCGCAGGTCTATTTTGACGATGCCTGGCTTAATACCGATAACCGCCACTACTCTGTTGATTACAGCCACTACAAAGATGGGTCGTTGTGGCGTCGCGGACTCTATCGGTTTATGGAATTCAGTGGCATCTCATCTTTCTAGCAGAAGGCGTGCAACCGTCCCGAACTTGAGGGCCTGGTATTCTCTTGCCGGCGGCGTAATATCACAGGTATGCGCCAGTTATTCCTGTCATTTAGTATCATCGCGTTGCTGTTCTGGGCTGTCCTGGCATCGTCGACAGCGTCTGCTGAAGAGGTTTGGCTCGTCGATTTGAAGGGTTCTGTCGGCCCCGCCAGTGTTGACCTTGTGATTCGCAGCATTGAGGATGCTGACGAGACTGGTGCTCACGCGCTCATTGTTCGCATGGATACGCCTGGCGGGCTGGACAAAGCGATGCGAGACCTGGTGCAGGCTATTCTGGCCAGCCCGATTCCAGTTATCTCCTACGTTGCGCCAAACGGCGCCCGTGCTGCGAGTGCAGGTACGTACATCAGCTACGCCAGCCATATTGCTGTAATGGCGCCTGCGACTAACATTGGCTCATCAACACCGGTCAGTATAGCCCCGCAAGGTTTGCCCGCCGAAGCACCTGCACAACCGGGAGCGCCGGTAGAGGACGACGAGGACGCATCCTCGCCCCCAGCCCCCAGCGTGATGCCTACGGATGCCATGGGTAGAAAAGTGGTCAACGATGCTGTGGCTTATCTGCAGGGGCTGGCTGAACTGCGTGGACGTAATCTCGAGTGGGCTGAGAAGACGGTGCGCGAAGGCGCAAATCTACGCGCGTCGGTCGCCCTTGAGATGAATGTCATTGATTTTGTGGCCAAGGACCTTGAGTCTTTGTTGAACCTGATTGATGGTCAGGTGGTGATCGCAGACGGCGATGAAGTCACTCTCGATACAGCTGGCGCTTCAATCCATATTGTTGAGTCTGACTGGCGTCACGACCTGCTCGCGACCATTACCGACCCGAGCATTGCCTATGGTTTGCTCATCGTGGGCCTTTATGCGCTGATGCTTGAGTTTTATAATCCCGGGTTGTTCATACCAGCAGTAACAGGTCTTATCTGTATTCTTCTGGGTGCATATGGATTGCAGTTGCTGCCGGTAAATTATGTTGGCCTGGCGCTGGTAGGGGTAGGTGTGGCACTGATGGTTGCTGAAGTGGTCAGCCCCACCGTTGGCATTCTGGGCGTCGGTGGAGTTATCGCGTTTGTCCTGGGTTCCATGATGATGTTCGACAGCGAGGTACCAGGTTACCAGCTACCTGTCACGATCATCGTTTCGTTTGCTGTAACCACCGGCCTGGCGATATTTTTTATTGTCGGCATGGCCATGCGCGCCCGCGCGCAGAAAATTGTTTCCGGTATGGAAGCCATGATTGGCGGGCACGCCACTGTTACACGAACTTTCACCCCGCACGAAGATGTTTTTCAGGGTCAGGTGTGGGCTTTTGGGGAGTCCTGGCGGGCGCGCAGCCGCAACGCTTTTTCTGAAGGGGATGACGTCCGTGTGGACGCCGTTGAGGGGCTTGTTTTAGAGGTCAGCGAGGAGACTTAGAGATGGAAATTTTTACTATTGTCATCATCACTGTGGTGCTTGGCCTGCTCTTTTCCGCATTCAGAATTCTGCGTGAATATGAGCGCGGTGTGGTGTTTATGCTGGGTCGATTCTATCGGGTTAAAGGCCCCGGTCTGGTGATCATCATTCCTGTTCTGCAGCAGATGATGCGCGTTGATTTGCGCACGGTGGTATCGGATATACCCACCCAGGACCTGATCACGAAAGATAATGTCTCAGTCAAAGTGAATGCCGTACTTTACTTCCGGGTCGTGGATCCTGAGCGGGCCATCATAAATGTTGAGAACTTCATGGAAGCTACCGGCCAGTTAGCTCAAACCACGTTGCGTTCTGTGCTCGGTCAGCATGAGTTGGACGAACTGTTAGCGCAGCGTGAGCGACTCAATCACGATATTCAGGAAATCCTCGATCAGCAGACAGACCAGTGGGGCATAAAAGTTTCTAACGTCGAAATTAAACACGTCGATATCGATGAAAGTATGATTCGCGCCATCGCCAAACAGGCGGAAGCAGAGCGCGTGCGTCGAGCCAAAGTGATTCATGCCAACGGAGAAGAGCAGGCCGCTGGCAAGCTGGTGGAAGCTGCAAAGCTGTTATCTCAGGAAAACGGCGCCATGCAGTTGCGCTATCTGCAGACATTGACGGAAATTGCGGGAGAAAAGAGCTCTACCATCGTGTTCCCGCTGCCTGGTGTGCTGTTGGATGTTATCGAGCGTCTGGGTTCGAATCCGCCCGCAGATGGTAAGTGAACCAGGGCTGCATTTTCTTGTTATGCTTTAGGTCATTTGTTTAGTTAATTCGCACCTCAACGAGGAGAATCTATGCCCCCCGCAATCATGGCTCACCCGGACCTGCGTAACCCCTACAAGAAAGTAGGTATTGGTCCGGAAAAAGGCGCCACCGTTCTTGTCCGTGACAAAGTTGTCGTCTTAGAGCGCATTCAACCAGGGGCGGGGCTATGGGTGCTGCCGGAAGATCTGACCCAGATCAATGGATTTGTTCTTAAGCCTGAGGGTGCCTGTCTTGATGAGTTATGTATCCCCTTGAAACAGGATACCGATCTGCTGAAAACAGTTGATGGTCAACAGTGGGTCAACGCTACCGCGTTTGCGGATTTGATGGAGCAGGCCTACGTTGTTGACGAAGATGCTCGGGTCTGGAGCTTTGGGGAGATGCCGGCAACTCGGCAGTCTATGTTTGCCAATGCACAAGTACCTGAATTTGAAATTCCAGATCGGCAGGGTAATGTCGTTAGAATGTCTGACTTCAAAGGTAAGAAGGCGCTGATTATTACCTGGTCGTCCTGGTGAGGCTGCCAACTTGATGTGTCCGTGTGGCAATCCATATATGAAGAATTAAACGACCCCGATTTTGTCATCATCTCCGCAGCTCAAGATACCGGCGGAGAAGCCGTTGCGGGTCCAATTTTTGATGCGGCCAAAGCCAGTTATATCCAGATTGTGGATGTGAACCATGCCATCAGCAGCGCGTTCAATTTCGTCAACGTACCGTCGGCCGCCTGGGTTGATGAGACGGGCAGGATCGTGCGTGTCGATGAAGGCACCTACGCCAAAACCCATCCTTTTGGTGGGACGGATGCTTATGCACCGGCACTGAAGGATTGGGTGCGCAACGGCGCTGCAAGCCAGTACGTTCAAGCTGCGGCGACTGTGACTGAAAATATTCGCAAGCGGACGCCGGAACAGGAGCAGGCTGAAGCCGCTTTTCGGTTAGGCAACTTTTTCCGTGAAAAAGGTCATGCGGAAAAAGCGGAGCATTACTGGTTAATGGCGCGCACCCTGCACCCTGACAGTATTAATTTCTTCCGTCAGGACCTGACCCTTTCGGCAGAGGGATCCGCGGGTGAATCATTCATGAAGTTCCGTACCGAGTTCACGCAAGCCGGTAAAGATTATTACCGACCGTTAGATCTGGAATAACATTGGCGGCTAACACCGGGCAGACAGCGCCGGATGATGAATGGTTGAGTGGGCTGCAGGAAAATATCCTGGAGCCTGATATTGCCATTGTCGACCCCCACCATCACCTGTGGTTACGTAACGGCTATACCTATCTGTTGCCCGAACTGGCGGCAGATATGTCCAGTGGTCACAACATTGTTGCCTCGGTCTTCGCGGAATGTCACTCCATGTACCGCCAGGGTGGGCCCCTGGAAGAACGTTCTCTTGGTGAAACTGAGTTTGTTCGTGGCCAGGCGGCCATGAGCGCCAGCGGTGAATTTGGCTCTGCGCGGGCGTGCGATGTCATGTTTGGCAATGTGGACGTGATGTTAGGGGCGCAGGTTGAACCCCTGTTAGAAAAACATGTTGATGTTTCAGGGGGCAGGTTTCGCGGCATCAGAATTTCCAGTGGCTGGCATTCTGATGATGCCATTCATAATGTTTCTCCAGTTGCACAGCTGCTGCTGAGTCCGCAGGTCAGCGCTGTGGCAAAAGTGCTTACTCGTATGGATATGACCCTGGATTGCTGGGTGTACCACACGCAGCTGACAGAAGTGGCGGCACTGGCAGACGAACATCCTGATCTGACGATTGTGCTCAACCATGTTGGCAGTCCGATTCTGGGTGGTCCCTACCAGGGTAAGACGGATGAAGTATTCGACGCGTGGTGTGATGCGATTCAACAAGTTGCCAAACGGCAGAATGTGTTTGTAAAACTTGGGGCGCTGCCGATACGTATGCCGGGTTACTCAGGAGACCGCAGTCTGCCGCCTGGATCTATGGAAGTGGCGGCTGCCTGGCAACGCTGGATCGATTTTTGTATTGAAGCCTTTTCGCCATCCCGGGCGATGTTTGAGTCTAACTTTCCTGTGCAGAAACGGTGGTGCAGCTATCAGGTCTGCTGGAATGCTTTTAAACGGTTAGCGGCAGATCTTTCTCCTGCGGAGAAGAAAGATCTGTTTGCAGGTGCGGCGATGCGGGCTTACCGCATGGACGACGGGCTGTAACGATTCTTTTGTACTAGTCTTTAAATCTCGAGCTGCTCAGCTGTGGGTGGCTGACTTCTTCTGGCATGTTGGTCATCAAACCCCATAGCCAGCGTAAGCCGTTTTTACCCTGAGCCCGCTCGCCTGCAAGCATGTTGGCCATGCCATAGTTGCCTTCATGGCAGGCGTATTCGTATATATCACCATTGCTTGGGGTGAACGTCAGTTCGCCGCGCCAGGGTTGTCTATAGATCTTGCTGTCTTCTACGCTGAATGCATAGTGAATTTCCTGTTCACCGACGCGGGTGAAGCGTTCAGTCACTATGCTGTCTTTGCCAACATACAGCTGGTGTTTGATAGCGCCGCGCATGCTTTGATCAGGATGAAACTGCGTCGTCTCCACAACCAGCGTGTCACCCTCCCAGTGACCGATAGAATCACCGAGCCACGGTCTGATCTGGGGTGGCAGCGGCTCACCGTTGATGCGAATTGTTCTCACGGCATGGTTCATCTCGACCAGAATCATGACCTGACCTGGCGTCTGCACGATCCGGTAGTTGTTGTTGTAAAGCACGGGTAGCATCGGCGGTCCGCCTGTCGAGCCGTAACCCACCAGGCAGCGGTCGCCGGTCAGTTGTTCTTCCGGATTGTTGCGTTTCTGGCTGTTGATCAGCTTCCACCAGTACTTTCGCCAACCGGTAATTGTGTAAGGCACTTTGCCGTTTGCAGGCTCGATGATGATGGAGGTTCGTGGCTCGCCTTTTACCCGCAGCAAATGGGTGCCGCGATCCAGCCAGGCAGTGTTGTAGCCGCCAACAATTTCACCGCTTGGCAGATCACCGTCGGGTAAGTTATCGATCTCGTCCGAATTTTGCGCGTCTCGCTGTTCCAGTCTGCGTGCCTGTGCTTCGCTGATCACCAGCGAGTTGAAGCCGGGCAGACGTTCCAGGCCGGTGACAGTTGCGTTGGTCCAGACGCCCTGCAGATCAGGGTCGCCCCAGTCCATGCGCGGCACTTGCCAGTCCTGGGCCAGACATGAACAGGACGAAATCAGAAAGGCAGCGCAGAACAGCGGTTTTGTGATGTGCATCTAACCCTCGCGTGGATCCAGGCCGTCTTTTGGTGCGCCGGTGCCTGAAGAACCCATAAAAACTTTACGCCCATCTGTGAATGCCAGGTCGCGACCGTTGGCTTTGCAGGCAGGTGTGCAGTTGCGGTCTTTGCTCTGGTAGCCGCGGACGACAATTTCAGTGCCGATGGCCAGAGAGTTGCGGTCTATGCCTGAGCGGACCAGGGTGTTTGGCGTGCCGCCTTCAAACATCCAGTCGACAACGCTGCCATCTTCCTGATCCGCTGCCAGGTGAATCCAGGCGTGCGGGTTGATCCATTCAATTTTTGTAACATGACCACGCACGGAGATCGGTGCTTCTGCATCAAATTCGGCGGAAAAAGCATGATGTGCAAGCGCGCTTTTCAGTGTGACGGCTGCTAACAGTAAACCAATCCCAAGATACTTTTTCTGCATAATGATTAATCCAGTGGCCGCTTGCGCAGGTGGCCGTACATGAGTTCTTCAACAAACTCGACGCAGTTGAACTGCATGAGTCGATCGTCCGGGGGCACTCTTTTATAGATCGGCATTTTGATCGTCCACGGTCGGGAATAAACATTGGGGTCTTCAAGCGTGGCCTCATAGTCCATGACGTGAGGGCTGAGTAATGTGAAACGTTCAATAACCTTTAGCTTGTCGGTGTGGTGATTGCCTGCTCTATCCAGCCAGGTCTGGCCGTTGAATCCGGTGGTTTCTATGATCATGGTGTCGCCTTCCCAGTGCATCCACGACTGCCCCATCCAGCTGTCTATAGGCGCAGGGCCAGGGTCGGTCAGGTGAATGTTGCGGACAGCGCCGGCGTATTCGTAGGAGAAGACCAGCGCGTCGGTGTTATGGAAGATCTGGAAACCAAAGTCCATGTAGTTGGCGCGAGGTACGCCAGGTAGATAGCATTTTATTTCAGGGTCAGACTGCAACCAGGCAGCTTTGTTCTTGTCTCGCTGCTTGCGTGCTTTGCGGGTATAGGGGATCGGTCCATCCAGCACAACGCCCAGGCTTGCAGGTACAGCGCCAACGGCGCCCAGGGCGATCACTTCCGCGGCGGGCACCGGAACTATGGGGCCATCACGAAGTGCCAGCGCTGCTTCCGGACCGTGGGGCTCCAGATTGAAGTTGGCACGATTCATCACCTGCCAGACGCCATTAAAGTCTGGCTTGCCGTTGGCCATGCGCGGTGGCTCATATTTGTCGTTAGCCAGCGCAGTGCTGGTCCCTGCCAGGAGCAGCAGCAGGGGGATCAGGTATTTCATGGGGTCTACAACCTTGGCGGCCAGATGTATTTATGTCTGATTACAAAGGTTTAGAGGGCAGTGGCAGGAAATATCAATCGGTCATCGGTGGGAAATTCCCAAGACGATTGCTGTGCGGTAGTTTTTTCGCCGCACAGCAAGATCGAACGAGGAGTCTTTGATCAGGCTTTTGGCGCCCATACGTTACACCATCCACCTGCGGCAACGTTTTTGCCGGGGAAGATCTGACAGCCGCCTAATGCGTCTGTTTTGGGCTGGTAGAGTGAACAGTTCAGACACAACTGCTTGGCGCCTTCTGCTCCAGCCTTTTTCGGATACTTGGCTACGTCAACTTCGGCGGCGACGTGTTTGTATCCCAGCGCAGCAGCGGCCGGGTCTGCCTCGTCTATCAAAACCTCTTCAGCGTTAGCAAAGTTTGTGTAGCCCACGGCGGGCGCAACAGCGATGAGTGCGGATTTCCGTATGAAGTTCCGACGACTTGTTTCAAATTTCATAGTGATTACCTTTAAAAAATTAAATTAGACAAAAATGGGACTAGAATGATCTAATACTTCGATTATCTACCCTTTATGGCCCGATATCTAATAATAATTCTTTATAATCCAAAAATGTCTAATAAAAGTCTAATTATAGCTAAAAGTAGTCAGCAGCCTGCGGATCGACAGGGTGGGGTGAAAAACGTTGCTGTTACAGATCTTGTTTTGATCAACAGCATCATCACCTCTGCGGTTGAGAGCTGGCAGTTTCCCGACCGCCTGAAACGCCTCGCTCTACCGATTCTGCAATATACCGCAGAGGATCTGGCAGAGTTCGAGTTCTTTCTCCACGATCACAACGGCAGCGTGAATGGCGTGGCAGTGTTGAGTAGAGACGCCGGCTTGAAGGGTAAACATGGCACACGCTGCGCGCTGCTGCATGGCCTCTACGTTCATGCTGATGCTCAAAGAACGGGTGTTGGCATAGCGTTACAGCAAACGGCAGCTGATCACGCTCGCGAACTGGGTTGTGAAGGGCTCCTGGTGAAAGCGCAGCGGGTGGCAACGTCCTATTTTGAGGCGCAAGGCTATGAAGAATGTGAGTGCCAGTACGTGAACTACCCGTATCTCTACTGGAAAGCAATCTAGACCGTCGGCTGGAAGCGCACTCTTTTTTTATGTGGGACGGAGAAGGTCCCATATCATTTCAAGGCGGGTCTTAACGCTTTGCGCTTCCAGAATCATCTGCATGAGATCTGCGTCGAAACGTAAAAACTGAAAAATTCTGAAGCTGTACTCGTCTGGTGGAAGATTTTTCCAGGCGGGGTCGCGAAGTGACTGCGCCAGTTCCGCCTGTTCGCTACCCACAATTTCAATCAGTCGTGTGTTGATGGTTGCCTGTAGAGCAGAATCCTCAGCAGGTGTCTGAGAGGCATTATCCAGATGTTCTGTGCAGGCAACGATGCGATAGGGAAGGGACTGAATCTCTTCGACTAAACTGAGCCGTTTGCTGATTGCAACGTTGGCAATAATACGTCCATCAGAAGTCGTCTCCAGGATTTCGCAAGCGCCGGCTGAGAATATTTCTTGTGGTTTATATGTTGCCTGATTTGAACTCAAAGCCTGTTCCAGAGTCTGCTGCTTTGCGGGCTGATGTATTGTTTTTAACGTGTGGCTGACGCCAACCAATCTGTTTTTGCTGACGCAATCGTTGATCAGCTGGCGGTATCGAGGTTCGAACACATGTAAGGGTAAGTTGACCCCGGGGAAAGCAACCACGTTTGGAATTGGAAAAAGCGCCACCTCAATTCTGTCGCCACTATTTTCCATTGGCTTTGCCGCTGGCAGCAAGACGATCTGCGAGGATGTGGTAAGCCTGGGGGGAGAAGCCAAGCCCTGTGTGTGAACTGAACACTTCAATATGCTCAACGTCGGGGCTGCGATGGTCGATACAAGCCTCCCAGGTGACAACGCCATCGGCTTTTGAATAGATGGCCGTAACAGGAACCTTCAGTGGTACGTCATAGCGGGCATCAACCAGTCGTTCGATTTCATCTATTGACGCTCCCCGCTGCGAAAATGCGCCAGCTACGGAGGTGTACTTTGGTCCACCGACCACCGGACTGCCTAGTGTCACCACGTGTTTTACCTTTTCGGGACATTCCCGTGCGACTTCTCGGGCCAGATATCCGCCCAGGCTCCAGCCAACAAGATAGACGGGTTCAGACGATGGTTCTGCCAGGAGATCCGCTTTGAGTTGTTCAAGGGTGGTGAGCACGTCGCCACTGTTGGTGCCCAGCGACCAGCCCTGCGGGCGGTAGCCGAGAAAGCTCAGATAGCTGCGCAATAAGATTGTTGATGAGTTGCCAGCGCCAAAACCGGGCCATACCAGCACTCGTTCATCTCGACCTTTCGGCGCCTGGGCCAGTGACGGTGCCTGCAACATGAGAAGCGAGAACTGCAGTGGCGTGAGCGCTTCCTGAAGCAGGGCAATGGGTGGCGGT